TTGCTAAACTGAGTTGCTGTACATAATGTCTGGTAAATATCAGCTTCTGATCTAAATTATTCCTTCTAATCTGCTCTACTGTGATAAAAGCATAGAATCTCACCTCAAATACAGGAAGCATATAACAGAATAGGAAGTAATGTGCATGGTAAGAGAATAAATTAATGGAATTAAAAAGCCAACAAACTATGCAATAGCTTTCAATTACTGGCCAATGATGTCCCCTCTTAGTAGGAACAGCTGTGAAAACAGTAGTTTTGTTCAGCCAGTACTGAGGAACCATGACACACCAGTTTGCCCACTGCATGCTAATTCACATTAATTTGTATGCACCCAGAACAGATCTCAATCTAGAAAATAACACACAATTCATGTTTAGATAATACCCATTCATGCACATGCAACTGAATTTTGATTCATGTATGTATGATATGCATTCACTGAGAAGCTGTAATACATTAAGTCCTTATGCTGCAACAAACACATACAAGTATTACCTGGGCCAGGCCACACACTTGCTACATGGAAATGTTTGCTGTGTTGGAGAAATGTTGCATGGGACATCAGTGTCTGTACAAGTAGTTGATAAAGGCAGAAACCTGATCAACAGCTTCCTGAGTATTTATTAATACACACTTTTCCATACGGCTGCCCTACCTAGAGAAGTGACCAAGAAATGGCTTTACATTCCATGATTAGAGAACCCTGGAGGCCACAGACAAATATGTGCCATGCAGTAATTGCCTAGTGTTGCAAATTTTGCAATCATTTGACCAGACTTTCTTTGGGTACCCACAACAGGTCCACTGTTACCAAAATCTCCTGTGGGAATGAGGTTGGACAGCAAGATCCTTGGAACATATCCCACCACCTTTAATACTAGGGTATGGGTGAAAAATCAATATTCACTGTCAAGATGACCAAGCCATCTCAATAAAAGCCCACTCTATTAATTGAGTGAGACTTGATTCAGTCAAGATCCTTTCCAGGTACATTATGCTTCCTAGAACACTCTAGGAACACAACAGAATCATACTAGCTTATTCTGTAAAACAGAGTGAACACAAGCATGTCAGCGGTCAGGTTAAAGCGGGGTTGCACTTCCAATTCATTCTGCTATGTGAACAACAGAAAATAACAAGGTTAGTAACCAGGTTGGCTGTATAACACAATCCATAATTGCAGGGCTGAAAATAATAATTAGCATAATTAATTTTAATCAGAGCTGTTCCCTGTGGAAGTCTGCTTTCTGCTTACAACATTGTTGTGACTACTCCATGAACTTGCCTTGGTTCAGGCAGTGTGCTTTAAGATGATTCTCCAAAGCATATGTAAGCAAGGAAACAATTAAATATTATCTAACTAATCCATGAATTAAGGTAATACTTAAAGCAAGGAAGTTGAGCAAGTAGAAATTTTTTACACAGCTGGTGCCCTCCAGATGTGTCAGACCACAACTTCCATCACTGATAGGACAACGAGAGTTAAAGTCCAGTGCATCTGAAGGTCAGCAGGTTAGAGAAGGCTCTAGTTCTTAAAATACTTAAATTTATAATCCCACCAAAACCAACGTATCTGTGGAGCTGAAAATGCCATAAATTAGCAGCAAAAACAAATGAGTCTGAAATTAATTCTCAACAAATGAAGAAACATTTTGTGGATAGGGAATCGCCACTCAACTCTGAGCTTCTTTTAAACTGATCTCTACATGGAAAGGGCTAATTCCTCATTGATGGCATCACTGACAATTTGTAAAGGATAACACTGTCCCTTCCGGGAACTCTACAGTAAAATGGAATTTTTACTGTGCCTGCTCTACCCTACATCAACATTTAAGTGCTTGTTTGACCCTGGGTGTTGCTTGCCAACTTTCTGGAGGACAGCTTGAGTTTTGACACTAAGGTTATTAAAACAGGTCCTTTACAACAGACCTCCTGGGTTACAAAAACACACTGAGGAATCCTCAGCAGGATTTCTGCAGCCTGAAGTTTCCATTTTGATGTACATCAGGAACTGCTGTGCTCTCTTTTTTCCCCACCGTAACCTTTGCAGAATCGTGCCATATGCTCCAGTGTCCCAAATCCTGCAACCAACTCCATGCTGGAAGAGCACCAAATCCAAAAGTCTGCCTGCACGGACTCTGTGAAAGAGCCAAGGTCCCACAGAGGAAAAGTTCTGCAGCCTTGATGATTTCCCATGGAGTGACTCAAGTAACTAAGTGCTCTGCGAATTATGTAACTGCATGACTTCCATGTCAAACCTGTGCAAATCATTTTTGGATCGATCCAGAAGCACCCAAATGACTTTGATCTTATCTTGATGAGTCCTTTGAATGCATCTAAAGACATGTCTGTAAATAATTCAACAGAAGAAATAAACACAAGCAAAGAGAAAGTCAGAAAGGAATAGGGCAGCAGGGAATGAGGACTGTGGAAGAAAGGTTTTTCAGATGGAACTGGAATAGAAATACTGCGTGATGGACTTAGAGATGAACTAGGAAAGGAAATAGAAGAGGAAGCAGGGAAAGAAGGTGCAAAGGGTATTACACTAAATATCAAATAGTCATTGACCACAAGAATGGGAAATATACAAATGCAAATTATTCTGTGTTTGAGGAGATAGTTAGAATACAACAAATGATTCCAGCATTTTAACTGTGCCACTGCTGCCAACAATAGTCAACTTGCTTTAATTGTTCCTGCTCCAGTACCTTCAACAGCTCCACAAATGCTGTCATGTTGGGAAGAAGCTGAACTGTGTATTGGGAGCTGGTAGGCTGTATTACCTGCTCTTAAAATCTCAGGTACAAATTACTTCCACACATGTTATTAAGTAGCTGAAATCTGGTGCCATTAGTGGTCATAAAAACTGGAATTTACTCCAAAAAAATTCTCCTTAATTAATATCAGGCACTCCTTTCATCCATTCTACCTCTCAGTTCAGTCTTCCTCAATGTGGCACCCTGCAGATGTTTTAAACTTCAACTCCTATCGGCCAAAGCTAGCATGGCCAAAGCTCAAAGTTGTCATTCAAATTGTCTGGAGGGGAAACAGTTTGAGAAAGCTGTCTTAACTAATCTGGAACTGGAGCATTTCCTGTTGAAGTGGGTGATCACACTTGTATTATTTAAG